GTCTGTCCACCTCTTCCGCGGGCGGCCTACGCTTCTCCTTGCGTTCACTCGAAACCAAGGTACCCAATTAACAAGTCTCGCACTCCATCTGCGGTCGGTGGGCGAGGACAGCTTGCCTGCTAATGTCCATTTCTGTTTCCAGAACATAGACACCCAATCGTCCACGCCGCTTCGCTCAGAAATCTGCATACTGGCGCGGGTGGCACGCCGGATGTACTCGACCCAGTCTTCGTCAGGTAGCCGTCCAATGCCCACCATCTGTCTCAGCATCCGGCGCTGCGTGGATCGAAGCTTTCGCTCCTCGGCAGCTGTGAGCGTCCAGGTGCTGGAGGCGTACAGTACGCAGGGCACCACGCACGCTGTGAACAGTCTCAGACGCTGGTGGATCTGGAGGCGCTTGTTGCACAAGAAATCCTTCAAGGCGTGGAACGCAGCCCATCCGGAAGCGAGCCGATTGCCGAATTCTGCTCCATGGACGTCATCCAGAGAAACTTTCTTGCCAAGACACTTCTCTGATTCGCGGTGCTGGAGCACTGTCACGTTGTGCGCGCCGCACTTTACATGTGGCGGTCGGTCAGATGCATTGGTCAATACCACTGTCTTGCCCATATGAACCTTCAGGCCGTATTTTTTGGCCTCAGACTCTCGATCTGCGATCATCCTTTGCGCTGTACCCATTACTCTGTGTCTCGATTTCCCTTCCGGTGTTCTCTTGACTGGTGGCATGAAGCGTTGCGACATTGGCACTCCTCTCGGTGGTGAGCGGAAGCAGACCCGCACCGAATCCCCCCTGCAGCAAATGGACGGCTTGGACGATGACGATCGTCCGGCGGCTTCCTCAGGCGAGGTGGAGGCGACCATGATGCACATGATGCAGGCAATGATGAAGGACATGAAAGACCTCAGGAAGGAGGTGCGGGGCATGGCTCGCGAGAGCAGGGAGGCCCTGAATGAGGCGAAGCAGGCGAAGGAGATGGCCACGTCCGCGAAGCAGGCCGCACTGGAGACGAGCTTGACCGTCAGCAGCGTGGAAGACAAGGTCAAGAAGCTCCAGGAGACGTGCATCACCAAAGATGACGTGGCGAAGATGATCGAGGAGACTTTGTCGCAGTGCACGACTCCGAGAAACGTAGCTTCAACGTCCAATCCATCATCTGCCGTTGCTGTCATTGGGAACGTGCCCAACGCGACGACCTTTGATGAGGCAGCTAAGTGGGCTATTACCTTATGTACTGATTTCAATGTCCCGGCTCCCACGCCCAGCAACATGTTCTGCAAGAGTGAGTTCAAGGGCGTGTTTTTCATCAAATTCGGGTCCGACTCAGAGCGCCAGGTGTTCTTCGATACGGTCGACACTTTCGCGAAGAGGCAACCCGGGAGTTTAGGAAGCACCGTCTGGGCCAAGCCGGACTTCCCCATCGACATCCACACGCAGCACGGGGTCCTCTTCGGGTTGCGCCGGATGCTGGCGAAGTGGGGGTTTAACAAGGCGTGCATCAAGGTCAACACGAACGATTTCTCATTGACGGTTGCAGGGGCGGTGGTGGCCAAGACGGTGGTGAAGGATTTCCGTCTCGAGCTGAAGTGGGTCGACCGGGAATGGGGGAAGTGGGATGCATTGCAGTCGTCAGGTGAGCTCTCCGAGATCACCACGGCGGCCCAGGCGAAGCTCGAGAGGGCGAAAGCATTCAGCGAGAGTAAGGGCAAGGGGAAGGGGGGTGGCTCCATGTAGGGGCCACGGCGGTGCGCAGACAGACAGGAGGTTTCAGTTTCACCCCTCGCGGCGGAGAGCCGCGAGGACGCGGACATATTTCAATATGGGCCGTGACAGTTTTGTACGTGTTGGTTCTTGGAACGTTGAGGGTATGACCGAGTTGAAATTAGTTGAGATTTGCAATCACATGAGTTCGCAGTCCGTCGATATCATGTGCCTACAGGAGACACGCAAGCCGAATTCCGATCATTATGACACCGAAGATGGCTACTCGGTGTCATTGTCAGGCGCGGCAGGGGCGCATCCCGAATGGGCTGGTGTAGGTTTCGTTATCGCTCCAAGTTTTCGTCCGCGAGTGTGCGGTTACTGGCAGCTGGACAGCCGCATTGCCTCCATCAAGACCCGCGCCGGCGCTGGGCGGCTTACGCTATGCACTGTGTACGCCCCGCACAACGACAGGCCGACCGATGAGAAGCTGAGCTCTTACGACCGCCTACACCGTCATTTGGCGGCACTCCCTGGTTATGGCCATCGGCTGGTGTTCGGCGACTGGAACGCCAGACTTGGTGGAAGACGTGCTGGAGAGGAGGGCATTATGGGCGAGCATTCGTTCGGCCGGGAGGCGGTGAATAAAGCAGAGGTCCCAAACCGTGATTTGTTCATGGAGCTATGTACGGATTTTCACTTCATCGTCGCGAACACCGTTTTCAATCTCCCATCAGAGTTCAAGGCGACATGCCACGAGCCTTGTGTCCGGCCTGGTGGCCCCATCACGGCTAACGGTTACGACGCCCTCGATTTGCTGCTGGTCCCAGCGCCTCTGGAGAGAAACCTAATGGACATACGGAGTGACACGACGAGCACCCTCGCATCTCATCATTACCCAGCGTTGGCAAAGTTCATGACCGGCGAGACAGAGCCCGGACAGGAGACGAAGCAGAGGCGCAAGCGTAAAGATTGGAGGGAGCTCCGGTCACCTGCTGGACGGAAGTCTTTGTCGCAGGAGGTTTCACGATTGACTGCGCCGTTGTCTCGCGTGGCTCTCTGTCCCAGCGTCGGCAAGCTACTTCGAGCTCTGTTTGGGCTGCTGTGGAGGCCGTCGTACCAGACATGGTGCGCGCGCCGAACAAGCCGTCGATCTCCCAGCGCACGCTGTCTCTGTTGGATGACTGGCGGCAGGCACGCGTCGACGGAGATTGGGAAGCAGGACTCATTTTGAGGAAGTCTGTCAAACGATCTGCAAAGCAAGATCGTGCCAGATGGTTGGAAGATCTTACTGCTTCTGGCGACTGGAGTTGCATCAAAAACATCACGAAGCCGAAAGCGAGACCTCAAGGCCGGTTGAATAACAGCGCGGGTGCCCCCGTCGCGACAGACGAGCGCGCAGAGACGTTCGCAGATCATCTCAACTCGATCCAGTGGCATGTGCGACACGTCACTCTTACGCCGAATACGGAGGACGTTAACACCCTCGCTTGGATATCAATTTGGGCATGTTCACAGATGCGGAGCTCCGGAAAGCTTTGCAACGCATGCGTTCCGGGAAAGCTTGCAAACCTGAAGACGTCCCAGCAGAGGTGTACAAGGCGCTGGCCGACGAGCCTGGGCAATTGCAGTGGCTGTTAGACATATGTAACGAAGCGTGGAACAGCAAGGAACTCCCACATTCATGGTGCGCTTCAAAAGTATGCCTGCTATACAAGAAGGGGGACCCTGCCAATTGCGACAACTATCGCCCTTCACCTTTGCAGTGCGTCGCAATGAAAGTCTTCTCCGCGATGTTGAAGGCAAGGCTGCTGGGCGCTGGCATCGACGACAGGTTGTGGCGAACCCAATTTGGCTTCCGGGCTGGGTGCAGTACGGAACGCGCCATTTACGCAGCGAGGCGCAATATCGAATTGGCGAGGGCGCAGAAAAATGGCTCTGTTACTCTCGTCGCCCTGGGCTGGAAGAAAGCGTTCGACAGCATCCACATTGACAGCTTGCTGGACGCGCTCAGGAGGCTAGGGATCCCAGAAGAGTTTCTGGCAATGATACGCGTGATGATGACTGAGAGGCTGTTTGTCGTCAGCGAATGCGGTAGCGATTCTGCTCCGAGGCCGCAGCTGTCCGGCATCTCTCAAGGGTGCACGCTCAGCCCACTTCTGTTTATCCTCGTAATGACAGTGCTACTTCACGACGCTGTCGGCCTCTTGGAAGGTGGGGCGAAGGATGCTTACGCGAAGGGGGACTTGTGCGAGTGCGTCTACGCGGACGACACCTTGCTTATTGGGACAAACGATGCATCCTTGAATGAGTACTTGAAAGCAATTTCTGACGCGGGTCGCAGGTACGGCATGGAGCTGCACTGGGACAAGTTCCAGGTCCTTGCCGTGGGGGCGAAAGGAGACGTTTGTGCACCCGATGGCACGGAGCTCAAGCAAGTCAAGCAGCTTCAGTACTTAGGTGCGCATCTGTCAGCCGACGCAGACGCAGGGCCTGAACTGGGGCGCAAGATCGGCGAAGCAAAAAGGGTGTTTTCGTCGCTCAGTAAACTGTGGTCCCATTCCTCTCTGACTTGGAGACGCAAGTTACGCACTTTCTCTTCAGTGGTGGAATCGAAATTGCTTCACGGGCTCGCTGGGGCATGCTTGAACAAAGCCCAAACACGGCGTCTGGACGGCTTCCAGAACAGGTGCCTCAGAAAGATCATTGGCATCAAGCCGTCATGGTTGTCCAGAGTACCAAACGCAGAAGTGCTGAGGCTTGCGCAGCACACGGGTGCCAGTACCCTGCTACTATACTGGCAGATGCTTCTGTTCGGCGACGTGCTGCGCTCAAGTGAGAACAGCTTGCTTCGCCGCACCACGTTCGCGCCAAACTCTTTCGCGCCGGCGACTGCTGCCGGAGTGAGGCGCAGAGGCGCGCCGAGCAGAGAGTTCGCTCCCATCATGTTGAAGCAATCCTTAGGAATTTACGGCAGTGTTCACGCGACGGTAGACGCAGCGCAGTCCGTATCGGGCTGGAAGCGCACGCTGCGCCATCACATTCTCCCATTGTGATTCTCCAAGTGTTTTGTCTGCATTTTCCGCGCTCTGTCTGTCCACGCACCGCCTGGTGTACGACTCGGAATCGAATCGCGAGGGCGTCTCGGGCAGCTGGGGCCCCCGAGGGTCCCGAAACGGTGCGGTGGCGGAGCGTGCGGAGGAGGAGGAGGAGGAGGAGGAGGAGGAGGAGGAGGAGGAGGAGGAGGGGTCACCGCGCGGTCCGTCCCCGCACCGTCCTGGGGCCCCGACAGGCCCCAGAGAGCGTGCCCGCCGCCCGCGAGGTGATGGAGCCGGTGCCAGCGGCCGCGCCCTCGCCGGAGGAGTGGCCGTGTGCCGCCGGGGTGTCCGAGCACCTCCGGGGGGAGGAGGCGCGGCCGCCGGCCGCCGAGGCCAGGAGCGAAGCAAGCAGCGTGCAGCACAGCTCGTCCCCGTTCTCCTCCTCCTCCTCCTCCTCCTCCCTCCTCCCCCCTCCTCCTCCTCCTCCCTCCTCCTCCCTCCTCCTCCTCCTCCTCCCTCTCCTCCTCCTCCTCCTCCTCCCCTCCTCCTCCCCTCCTCCTCTCTCCTCCTCCTCCTCCCCCCCTCACCCTCCTCCTCCTCCTCCTCCTCCTCCTCCTCCTCCTCCTCCTCCTCCTCCTCCTCCTCCTCCTCCTCCTCCTGGGGAAACGTAAGGCTCGATTGCGCCGGAACTCGGCTTTGCCGACGCTCTTTGACGAGCGCGTCCTTGATTTTGACGGTCCAGGTTTTGTGGGATGTTTGCTGCGGGACCTCGCGTCAAATTTCAGATTTGGTCTCGTCATTTTCATGGTGGTCCCGTCAGGCCAACCCGAGTCCCCCGTACCCGAGTCTCACGTCTCCCCGAAGCAAGTTACGTGCAGTACAGTCAACCCGCCTAGTAAGGATGGGCAACCTTCCCAAAGGTGCCCCTACATCCTTGCCCCTTCGGCCCATCCTCAGCAGCTTTCGCTGGCCAGCCTCGTGGGAGCAACGTTCACATGGGCCTCCAAGACCCTTGCATCCTTACCGCGCATCCTTATGATGCGGGTTGACTGTATAGGTTCGTGCCGTGTCGACTGGCGGCGGCCCCGCCGCTGGCGTTCCGCGCTGAGCGCCGTCGGCGGCGCAGAATCGGTCGATGTGGAAGGATCTGGCGTTTCGACAACGGCCGGTCGCTCAAAGTGGAACGATCCCCGGGGTGTCAGAAACCAGCGTCAAACCATTCGGGGGCGGCAACGAGGGGGGTGATGACTGGGGGGGTGGATGTCATGGCGTGGGCCATGATATTCCCTCAGATCTCATGGCGCCTCTTCTTATCTCATTACGTCCCCTGCCCCACCCCCCTGGGCCGCGCAATGCCGCCGGCGATGATTTGCGCCCCTTCCTCTTGGACGCCTCCCTCTTGGCCGCCCCACCTCTTTCGGGCCTCTTGGGGGCCTGTTGGGGCCTCTTGTGGACTCTGAGGGGCCTCTTGGGGCCTCCCGGGCGCCTCTTGGGGCCTCCTGGCGGCCTTTGGGGGCTCTCTGGGTCCGTCTTGGAGCCTTCTTGGGCCCGAGAAAGTCACGCGCCACCACGCGCCAAGCCCCACGGGGCACGGCGCCACCACGCGCCGAGCCCCACGGGAGATTTGGCAATTTGGCTTCCGGGGCACTTAAAGATTCCTCGGGACTGAGGACTGAGGCTCAGGGGATTGGGCGAAGGACCTGAGGACACGCCCACTCCGTGCCCAGAGGCACGGTGGGGGATGCACTGCGCGAGCGTTCGTGGCACGAGGCTGGCCTCCAGGACTGGGGGGCCGCATTCATGTACAAGGCTGATCGCTTGTGTCGTTTTTGGGCTTCCTGCGAGGCACCTCAGCTCTTGGAGGTGCCTGGCTCTTTCGGCGCCACCTCCAGCTCGAAGAAAAAACGCCAGCACAGGCATAGGAACTTCCGGAGGTCCGCGCGGACTCCTCGGATCCGCGCTGGGGACCCCGTGGCGGCGGCTCCAGCGCCGCCCCTGGCGCGTTCCAGCGCCGATCCAAGCACTCCGCGCGGCCCTCCGAAAGCTTCTGCCCTGGCAGGCTTTTCTTCTTCTGCCAGCGCGCCCGGCAGGGTCTCCTCCAGTGCCTCGCGGCGGCCGCAGCGGGTCTCAGTGACGAGCGAGTGCTCGGTGTCGTTTGACCTCGCTGTGCAGCGGTCCTCCTATCACGCACCCTCGGAGCTGGCGTTGACGCCTCCGCCCCTGGATCTGGGCGATGATTCTGTGCTGGACGGTTCAGAGTCTCCTGCCTCTCCAGGGACGTCTCACGACTTAGGTTTGGGACGATCGAAATGGGTACGGAAGGAATGGGGTACAGTGCCCAATATCAGTTCCTTTTCATTTTGTCTGAAACTGGAACATGTACATTACCAGTGGCGGGCTGTTTTTCAATCCCAGGACTTCTTGAGGGTCGAGGACGACGCTGGGGTGGTGTGGTGTATACTTCTTTTCCCCGATGTTCCGAGGAAGCAGCGACAAATGTATACACCAGGGTCCCGTCTACACCAGGATCCGCTCTCCAGTGCAAATTCCAATGCAGGGCCCGAAGAAGCGTCGGTGTATAGAGTTCGATTCTCTTTTTTGAACAGGACTCGCTGTTCGCGCCGCTGCGGACGCTGTTCTTTGAAGACAGCAATCGAAGAAACAACGGCACAAACATAAGCTTTTGGCGCTCCGCGCGGATTTCTTGGATCCGCGCTGGGCCCCCCAGGCGGCGCCTCCGGCGCCGCTCCTGGCGCAGATCCAAGAAATCCGCGCGGAGCGCCACCAGTTTTTATGCTTATGCCGTCTTTTCTTCTGTTAGCACTGATGCCGGAATACACCCTCCCTCCAAGTTCCCTCTGCATAGGCGGCCCCATACAATGCTTCGTTTCCACTGAACGATGTGCCAGATTCGCAGTTCTCGATTTTGCCCAACCTGCCCAACAGCGGCCGCTTTCGATTTTCAAGAAACCACCTGCCCAACAGTTCTCGTTTCAAGAAACCACCTGCCCAACAGCGGCCGCTGTCGATTTTGGGCAGCTCTTGTTGTTGGGCATTGTGCCCCGTTTTTCCATACTCCATTAGGGCGTCCGAGCAGGTGGCTCCGAGCCGCCGTCCACGCGGCGCCGCAGCCTCCGCAACAGCCGCACCGACTGGTCGCTCCCGGGCGAGCTCCGCTTCGAGGGCTCGGACGAAAGGCCGGCCGTTGTCATCCGGCTGCCTGCGGCCAATCCGCCACTGGCGCCTGCGGCTCACTCTGTGCTCGGAGGAGGGAAAGGTGTCCATGCCTCTACCTGTCGCCCGTTTTCCCATTCTTGGGCCTCCTGGGAGGTCCTCGTCGCCGCCGCTGGATTCGCCTCGAAATTCTGGTCCGAACGCACCCTGGGGGAGGTCCAGGGAGTAGCGGTATCGGTACCTTTTGGTGTCCCCATGTGTGCCGACCTTCCGAGCCGCCCCGGCGGCGCCTCCCGCGCCGCCCCTGGCGCGCTCCGCGCGCCAGGGAGGGGGGGCCAGCGCGGATCCAAGAAATCCGCGCGGAGAGCCAAAAGTTTCTGTTCAGGCCGTTCTTTCTTCTTCCAAGCTCGGAAGGCGTTTCTCCGCTGCAACGTCGGGGAGAGGCCTCCGACGATTTCAGGCGCCTCGCAGGGCAGCTCGGCGGTTGATTCAGCAGGAGGAGGAGGAGGAGGAGGAGGAGGAGGAGGAGGAGGAGGAGGAGGAGGAGGAGGAGGAGAAGGAGGAGGAGGAGGAGGAGTGGTGGTGTGACGATGGTTGGTTGGTTGGTTGGAGGGGCCTGAAAGGCAGGAAAAGGAGAAAAAGGACCGAGGGGCCTCCAGGGGCCTCCAGCGCCACCCGAGACACGCCCTCCCAAGAGGGGCCACCTAGGGCCGCCTCTCAACACGGGCCAGGGAAGGCGGACGGCAAAGCCACTGGCTCTGGTCCCCAACCCGCCCAAGCCAATCATGCAAGCACTGCGAGAACAGAAGCTACACATGACCACTACCCAAGCTCGACTGCATTGCAAATGCACAACGTGCACATTCAAATGCAGGAGGCATCACTCACTGAACAATCACTCACGATCCCAATCTCCATTCCAAGATGAGGCGATGAATGATCTCCCGACTCAAAGAAATCCTGGGGCTCCACCTCGATCGACTCCTCGAGGCTGGCCTCCCAGGCTTCATCCCTGGCCCTCAGTCGGGCTTCCAGGGCAGCCTGATAAGCTTCGTCGCTGGCCCTCATGCGGGCATGAAAGTCGAAGTCCTGCTCCGCTTCAGGGTAGCCGTCATCGAAGCCGTCGTCGCTGCCGTGCATTGCCGTGCTCCCGTGCTCCGCCTCTCCCAGGGCCGAGCCGTACTCGCTGCCATTCGAGACGAACTCCTCCTCCTCGAGGTCCGCCTCAGCATAACCCACGGAGCCTGCTAGCAAACCGCGGCCTCCCGTCACCAGACACTTGGTACCGCCTGCGTGTTCGCACAGGCTCCCGCGCTCCGCCTCGCCCAGGGCCGAGCCGTACTTGCGCATGCACTCGGCCATGCCCTCCAGCTTGTGCCCTGAGCCTGCTGGTAGGTCGCTGCCGTCCGTCACCTGCCACATGGTGCCGTCCGCGACCTCGACAGCCGGCGCAACACCGAGGGCAGCGAGGAGAACGTCGACGCGGGCGGGCTCCAGCATGGCCCGGCAGCCCGGAGGCCGTCGCGGCCAGAAAGGGGCCGCCTCAGCCCGCATCTGCACTGGCCCGCGCTCAGGCCGGGGGGCCTCCGCAGCCAGCACTGGCGGAAGGCGTACCACAGGCACGGCGACGCAGATCTCGACCTCGATCGCCTTGCCCTCCTGCGGCACAGCCCGCCCGGGCCCGCCCAGCCGGGGCCCTCGGCGCGCAGCACGCAGCTGGCGCGTGCTGGCGCTCACGACGTCCAGCCCCTCGGCGGCCGAATGAAGCGCGACATCGCGCCGTAACTTGTCGCTCACCGTCGGCATGAACCCCTCCAGCAGGGCAGCAAGGGCCCGAGCGACTGCGGCAAGCCGCCGGGCCACCGCCCCGTCGCCCAGGGCCCGACCGAGCGCGTCGAGCCGCGAGTGGCACTCGTCGAGCTCCGCACTCAGGGCCTCTGCCTCCGCACACGCCGCCTCCAGCCCGCGGTCGCATGCATCCTGCGCCCGCCGACGCGCAGCGGTCCGTTCGGCGCGCGAGCGCCGCTGCACCGAATACCAGGAACCGCCACGCGGCGATCCCGCCCGCGCCATCTGCTCGAGCCCGCCCGCGCGCGCCCGAGGCTGGCCTTGAGCCCAAATGGCCACGTTCGGTGGTGGGACGATGCCGTGGGCGAGTGCCGTGGTCTGCTGATGCAGCATGCTGCTACATGAGGCGAGAGGTGGGCCCCGCCTTCTCGGGGCCGAAAGAGAAGTGGAGGGCGCCCTGCCATGCAGCTCGTCGCCGATGATCGGCGGCGGGTCTTGCCTCCCTTCGGAGCCTGGCCTCCCTCCGGCTGGCAGCAATGCTGGCCGGCTGCTCGGAGGTGAGAGGAGGCGGAGGAGGGGGAAGCGACGGCAAAAGGAGGAGAAGACAAGGGGGTGGGGCCGAGAAATCCATGGGATTCGAGAACATCTTACTTGTCAAGGGCCTCGGGGGTAGAGGGAGAGAGGCTCGCAGGAGCCGGAATCGGAGCTGGAGTGGGAACCTCGGAACTCGTTTGCGTACTGTCACCAAACGTGTCGAGCAAAATCTGGTGCAACTTGAAACTCCTCCTCTATGTCCTTCACGTAGAAGACCCTCAGACGGTTGAGAAGCTCGCTGTCCTAGGCAAGCCTCTCTGAGTCATCATGGTCCGTGTCATCATTGGCACCTGCTTCACAACATCTGGAAGCAATGGAATCCCTATTAGTCATCGCAAGAGCCATGCACATACGAGGTGGGTAGGTCTTCTTGTACTCGGTCCGAAAGTTGCCTTCCTGTCTCTTTCCCAGGGGTGGGGGCATCTTCCATGGAGTCTTTGGTGGAGCTCTGGGAGCCGCACACCGAAGAGCCTCATGGGAGCCCTGCCAATGTCTGTGGGGTCCTGGTCTTGGTGGGTGAACTGGTCGAAATCTACTGTCACCGTCGTGGGGCCTGCCATACTAGCCTGCAGTGGGTCCCATTGAAATCTTGACGGGGCTTGGGGCTGCCAAACAGCTGGCTGAGGATGTTCAAACCAGCCTGAGGTACCAGCCTTGATGTGACAGCCGAGAAGGTATATGATTGACCCCACATGAGCCAGATGCCAATCTCCAATTGGAGCGCCTGCCTTGGGGTGGCCCAAGGCGCACCCCAGAACCAGTCGCTTGTACGTAAGGGGGGGAGGGCCTCCCTCGTGCCATTGTGCTGTACACCACGTTTCGCACGCCCCCCCCCCATGTGTTCCAAACGCGCCGTGCCAACATGTGTGTGGCCCACTCTTGTATCATGTCCTGGTTGGCGAGATCTCCTAGTTCCTCGTCGATGGCAACATCTACGCATAACATTATGATGTGACAGTGTGTCGTGTGTCGCTCTCCTTCTATCCATACGGTAGGTGGAGGGCAGGATACCGAGCACAAGTCAGCATACCAGAGCACGGGCTCTACCCAGCGTCTAGGCTTGCCTTCTCACATTTTGATGACGATGAGGCAAGAGAGCTCCTCCAACGAGCAGGGTACGCGCATGATCCCAGCGCTGGGCAGAAATTCCGAGCCCTCTTCGCACGCGCGAGTGACGAGGCTCCAGAGCAGCTGACGGTACAACCTGCAGATCGCATTCAAAAGTTTCGCATGCACGATTACCAGCAGCCAGCGTCGGAGTGGCTGCCAAGAAGGGTGCACCGCATCGAGATGTTTGTGCTCAATCGTTCTCTTGCTGTGCAGGCTGTCTGGCATGATCCGGGTCTAACACCGCGCCGTGCAAGTGATATGCCGAGCTGCATCTGGGAGATTCGAAGGCCAGATGGTCTTTCAATAGCCGTCTCCCTGAGACATGCGCCGACCATGCCATGCATATGTTTCCCTCCCCCATGAGTCGTTCCACCATGTGTACTTCACTGTAGCTGTTGCGCACGATGTGTTGTCTTAGTCCTTTCCTGCATTTGCCCTGCACTCCAGACCACATTCATTTGAGGTCTGGTGGAGGCGGAGGTTGGGGAAAGATAGGATGGTGGGTTCGTAACTGGCAATGGCACGCCGGCTGGCCGTACGAGCTGAAAAAAGGTGTCCTGGGCATGCTGCGCTAGGGCGATCCGTCCCTTAGCTGCTGCGTCGGCTGCGAGCGCTGCGTTGACCGATCCACGCCATTTAGCTAGGGATCCAGCGATGTGTGTTTCCCAGGAGCCGAAGTCGGTGAGGGGTCAGGGAAAGCCCTGAACGCATGGTGGGTAGATCGGAGCCAATTGAGATCAAGGAGAACACGATGGAGCCACGAATCCCTGGCGACCGATGCTGATCGAAAAGCAAGTGCAACTAAGCCTCGGAGCGTAGGAGTCCCGTGGTGTAGTGACCTTCCCAAAAGCCCGAGTCGGTGAGCCCTTAGTACTGCGGTGAGGTCAGCATGCTGAGCTACAGCTAGGACGTGCGCATCAGGAACTGGATGGTCATCGCAGTGCTGCAGCTTAAGAATTTGATAGTATGTAGCCACCATCAGATGTTGCATGTGAGCATGCTGCGCTGAGGATAGGTCTGGCCAAGTGCCAGCGTCAAAGAGCAGTTTGAGTACACCTATGTGTCGGTGAAGTGTAGGGCGGCCCCCCTGGGAATCGAGCACGCTGCTGAAAATATGCGCTTGCGTAGCTGTTGCCTGGATGTACGTGCTGGGTTTCCCGATGCGCGAGCTCAGGTCCGATAGATCCCACTTCGTCAAGTACTGTACCCAGATGTGTGTATGTATTGTCTGGCAGCCCTGATCTTAAGTCCCCAAGGAGCGTAGTGGAGACCTGGGAGATACCCTGCATGGGGCCCCAAAGCGTCATGTTAGCGCGTCTGGAGACTGGTCCCCGGAGTTGCAGGAGGGCCCCTGTTTTGCCAGCGGAGAAGTTAAGGCGTGAACCTCTGCGAACAAAACTTGTTGCTACTGCTGCTGCTGCGACTCTTGGTGCTGCTTCCAGCGGCGTCTGAGCCTTGCCGATGACAAAGAACGTGCTGCCGTCAAAGAAGTAGGCTTCGATGTCTGCACTGAGAGTGTCTGGTGTGTCCGAAAG